GGAGCCGGTGACCTGGGCTTCGGGTTTCAGGGTTCAGGGTTTAGGGTTTAGGGTTTCAGGGTTCAGGGTTCAGGGTTTAGGGTTTAGGGTTTAGGGTTTAGGGTTTAGGGTTTAGGGTTTAAGGTTTTGGGTTGAAGTGCAGTGACCCCTCTCTCCATGCGCAGACGGGTCCACGGGCCCACCCCGCTAGGGTGCCTGTTTCTTCCCTCACGCGGAACATACTTCGCTCGATTTGGAAGATGCGATCATAGTCTGCCATCAGCTGGGATCTGCTGTTGCAGAGCAAACCCACTTCTGCAGGACACGTGGCGTCGCTTACAGTCCGGACGAGAGGGTAACCAACAGCAATGTCGCGACTTTCCAGCTTGAAAACAGACTCCAGTTCCATTATCTCAGCAGCGGCGTCTTCGTCACCACCTTCGTAAATGCCGGACTCTCGCGCATGCATCTGCGCTACACCACCATAGGCACGGAGATTTGGGGAAGGCAGCACGGGATAGCGAGAACGCCACTCCTCGGCACTCACTCTGGCATCCGATGCATCAAGGAAGGCATCAATGGCTGTATATCCAACAGCCCTCTCGGCTACATCAAAGATCATGTCCAGGCCGGTGAAGCGGTTGCAGTTCGCCTCAATCAGGACTGGGCCTTTGTCGGCAGTCATCTTCACCTCGACATGTGCAGGGCCAGCTTGCATGCCAAGTGCGGCGAGCGACTCCATGGCGTAGGTTGCAACTGCTTCCTCTGGCGAGCCTTTCTGGATCGGCTCGATGAGCACCCCGAAGACCACGAATTCAGCACCATTGAGGGCCCTGACATCGTACTTGAACACGCCCATGACGGCCATGGCGCCATCACGGACTACAATGTCCACTGCGTACTCATCTCCAGCCAGGTGTTCCTGCACCAGGACCGGCCTAGACTCCGCACCCGGAGGCCGGCTGCTAAAGACCTTGCGGACGAGCGCCTTAGACTCTGCAGGTCGATTGCCATAGTCGAGAAGTGTCACATTGTTGCCTGCAGATCCACCCAGGAAAGGCTTCATCACGGCCTTTCGTGACAGCTCCGCCTCAACAAAGGCCTGCACCTCAGACTCTGAGCATGCCAAGACCCACCGGCAGGAGGTGAGACCAGCGTCTTTCAACACAACTTGCATCAGGTGCTTGTTGCGTCGAGCCTGCTCCAGCAGTGCATCAGCTTCGACGTCACCAGAGCCAGTCAGACCCACCAAGCTTAGCACTTCCTCGACTATAGGTAGAGCATGAGGGTCTGAGAATGCCAAGACTCCCGAGACCGAGAACGGAAGCTTTTCCAACCAGTCCTTCAAAGCAGGCCCCCGCGGTGCTGGCTTGGGATGTGGCGGCGCCCAGAGCTCTGCTACCAAAAGTCCTTTGGCGGCAGCCTTTTCCCCAAGAAGGGCTTTCGTGCCTCCGTAGCCATCCACGAGAACAACACCACTCGGCTTGCCAGGCGTAGGCTCCTCTGTCGACCAAGGCAACCATCGCCGTGTGCTCCTACCTCTTCGAACCAGCCGAAGGGAGAGCCTAGTATTCCTAAGTTGTCCTTTAAGCCCTTTGAAAATTATTTACTATTATGGTTCTCTACAAAATAGTAAGGGAAATTAAAACAGATCCCAAAAGACAACCCAGATTCACAAACGCAGAAGGAGTGTAACCCCTGGATAGCCAGGAGGGTCCGAAGAGGAAGGCTCCACAAACCAGGAAAAGGAGAAGGCTCCCGGCAGGTCTCCAGCGCTGGCGGCCGCCCATGAGGGTAGTTCTCTAAATTAGGGTCCCTTGTGTGGGTTCCCAATATAGTACGGCACCCTGATAAAAAGAACCCCAAAAGGGACCCTAATTTAGAAAACTGCCCATGAAGTGAACCAATGAACGAAGACTGGAACGCGAAGGCAACGATGAGAAGCTATATGGTGGAACCCGTGGTTTGCCTACATACATGAATGATTCCTATAACATCCTTACAATGCATGACTCAATAGTGAGTGATCTGGAAATCCGTTCAAAGAAACATGAATCGCACGACCGTTTATTAGAATGCTACCAAACTACTCCAAAAATTGTATGATCTAACATGAGCCAACCTTAAGTTGCTTCTGAAGCTAGGCTTCATCATGGGTAGATCTTGAGTCGACATTGCTATGCAAAGAGAGGCCGGGAAGGACAAGTCTTGTCGAAAGCTCTACAGGCTCTGTATATTGGGTCTCTGCTCCTGAAACATGGGCAGCCTTTACCTAAGGTGGATGGCCCTAAACCCTAAACCCTAAAACCCTAAACCCTAAACCCTAAAACCCTAAACCCTAAACCCTAAACCCTAAAACCCTAAACCCTAAAACCCTAAACCATATATCCCAAACCCTCTTGGGGCCTTAACCTTCAGAGTGCGGCTCGCTATAAACTCTTGCATGTTCCGGGTTGATGGTCCTCCAAGTACCACATCGCACAACCCTAAATCCTAAACCCAAATACTACTACCTACAACTGCTGCTGCTACTACTACTGCTAC